TGTCTCTGAAGTTGCATGAGATAGTACTGGCCTGTATATATTATAATTGTCTACTCTTGAAATCACCACACTGAAGTTGACAATCCCAGTTTCTTCAAATTGATTTGATCTCCAGGAGCGCCCTAGAAATCTTAGAAACAGAAGTTAGAGGGTCAACAGATCAAGAACCACAAGGTCCAGTTCCAGAGGATCAGTTGGTTAGTATATATCTCCACGCTAATATACTTAGTTTACTGTTAATGACGATGCAAATATCAAGGATCCATAGAAGCCATTATGATTGTCATCGATAACCCTACAGGTCAAGATGGATCATATGGTAGCTGCATTGTCAAAGACGTTTAAATCTCCAGTAGTTGACACCATGCAGACTCTTCCTCAACACCAGCAAGTAAGTTACAACATCACCCAGACTTATTTATATCTGCAACTTAGTGGAGATGACCGAATCTGAAAGTATGTAGTGGACTGAAATCACATGCTTCTATTGAAAACTTGCAGATCATAGTCTGTTCTGCTGCAAAGGCCTTTAGAGGAAGCAAAAAGGACAGAACCATTGCAGAGGTACTCTTCATTGAATGAACAATACACAATCACAGCTTCATCGAACTTATAACGAAAGGGCATTATTGTACATAATAATATTCACCTCTGTTTTCACACTTTTGATGCAGCTAAATAAGTTATACCTGGAAATCTGTAAATCTTCGATGATAACGCCAGCTGGAATTACAGAGTTCACTAACATGTGTACAGTGCTAAACGACCAGGTACTAAAGAATATCTATCTTCTTGATGATGATTATATCAGTTAGAATTAACTCTCATGTTGTATTGGTTTATATAGTCAAGAGATAAAATAGAACCTTGAAAGAGTAATTTTGATCATTTTGGATTGGCACCAGGGGATTTTAAAACTGAGTCAAGCTAGGGAAGACAAGCCAAAGAGAGTGAGCCTTAGAGTAGATGAAGCAGACATCACATTTGCTCTTAAGGTAATAAAATGATACACCCTTTGATTTTTTAGCAAACTAATTAGCAATTATAAACTAACCAAACTCTTCCCCAAAATGCAGTTTCTTTTAATTTTAACACTTTCCCCTTCTGATTGCAAAACAGGAAATTCGATTCTTCCGCAACTGTCTACTGTGATGAAGTTATTGAGTTACAGCGGCGATGAGTTTCTTCATTCTTTTACAGAATACAAAAGTAAACAAAAAAACTCAGTACTAATACAGTACTCACATACATAAACAACATGTATTTCTTTATTACATTTTACTAATAAGATTACAAGTCAAATTCTTATAATGTAATCTACTGGTGGATACATCATTTGTGAGGATGAAAAAGTACTTCTGTTCAATTAAGTTTTATAACTTGCCAGAAATTTTTGTTTTGTAATAATCGAAGTAACCAGAGAGGTCTATTTATTTTTGACTTATTGGCATTTGATAGTCTTGCTCTCAAAATATCTTTTTTTTTTACAAATTGAACATGCATATTGGGATACCCTTCTTGAGAAAGATAACTCTGGTTCTTATTAGTTTAATAGGCCAAAACTCCCCAACGTTTTATAGTTAACCAATTTTTTTTCTTAAAAAACGGCCGTTATGCAATTTAGATTCTGTTAAGATCAATAACCAAAAAAACAACTCAAATTACCAATCTCATTAACCCCTACCTTCCTTTGAATATTGTGTTACTTGCTTAAAATTAGTACAGGTGGTCAATAATGGAAATTAAACCAAATGGATGGTGGACTAGTGGTAACATAAGGAAGTTGTTTTTTTGTGTGTCGAGTTCAAACTTTTTTTGGGACGGAGAATTATTCTTTAAATCAGAATATTCAAAGAATGTCTCTGGTTATCAAGGAAATTATGAGCTAAAATTTCGGAATTATTCCGGTTTATTAT